GTCTGAGAGCGGGGTCGATGTTGTCAGGACGATTGGTGGCGCCGATTACAATAACCTGTCCGCGGCCGTCCATACCGTCCATCAGGGCCAGGAGTGTTGAGACGATGGAAGCGTGAATCTGCTCCTGCTTGCTGGAGCGCACCGGAGCCAAACCATCAATTTCATCGAAGAAAATGATACTCGGCTGCGTTCTTCTCGCTTCCTCAAAGAGCAGACGCAGCTGCTTCTCTGCTTCACCAACCCATTTGCTCAGAGCATCGGCTCCCTTTCTCATGTAAAAAGTAATCTTGCGCCCGCCAACGCCCACGGAATTGGCAAGAGCTCTAGCAAGCAGAGTCTTACCAGTACCGGGTGGACCGTGGAAAAGAACACCTCGAGGTGGCGTGACATGGAATCTCTGGAACAGCTCAGGGTATAGAAGAGGGAGCTGGACCATTTCCTTCAGCTGATCGATGTGACCTTGAAGACCACCGACATGATTGAAGTCCACAGTCAGATCGACTCCAAGAGGATCGGCATCTGCCAAAGCCTTCTGGTTCTTGATCTTGCCAACATTGGGAGCTGCCCCCACGCCACCCTCTCCACCCAAAGGTTGCGCAAGGCCAGGGAGAAGTCCAGCTGGAGCGGCGGCTGATGTGGGCGTCATGCCAACATTTCCAGCAGCAGGCCCTGATCGTTGGCCCATTTCATCGTCACTGCTGTCCGAATCGACACCTCCTGCGGCCATTCCGGAACCCCAAGGCCCGCCAAGGAGCGACCCGGCGCCGCCTCCGCCTCCAAAAGGTCCGAATGTTGTGTTGAGGGCGCGATCCCAAGCTTGACTTGCACCCCCACGACCACCGCGACGACGTGCGGGAGTCGGGGCTGGATCTTCGCCGTCATCTTCCTCAATGTTTACGGCAGAGAGGGGTGGCATGAAGTAGTTCATGGGCTTCGCGGCGGCTCTGCGTCGCTTGGATGCTGTTTCTTGATAGATGATGGCGGGTGAAGGTCGTCGTGGACGCCGCGAGCGGGAGTCCTGCCTTAGCTCGTGGAGCTCTTCGGCCAACTCGTCTTGGTCTAGCTCGACTTCCTCGGCTGACTCGGCGCCACGGCGCGAGCTCCGGGTGGATCGACCCTTTGGCTTGGCGGCCCTACCGCGCGGAGCCGGGCTGTCGAAATCACCGTCGTCACCGTCGCCGGAATCCTTCTTGGGCGACTCAGACATGCGATCTTCCTCCCCTGCTGACTCTTCGCCGGGCTCGAAATCGCTACTTGGCTCTTGAACAGATTTTGATTTCCGAAGCCCGTTGCGACGAGTTGGGCGCCCAGATCGTTTGGGGACGTCATCGTCGGCTTCGCCTTCGGCATCAGCCTCCGGTTCGGCGGGCTCAGCAGGCCCAGAGCCACTTCCTCTCTTTGCCCTGGTTCGCCGCGTGACGATTGGACCTTCGTCTTCGTCGTCATCGTCATCTTCTGCCACAATGTCTCCCTGTACGATTTCTGTCGATTTTTTGACATCCTCCATCTCGGCATCCTTTGTTTCTTCAACAGCTTGCTCAGCATCGCCAGCCAATTCATCAACATCTTCCTCCCGAGGACCGCTGCTTTCTTGGGTGGCCTCTTCAATTGTCTCGGGTCCCTTCTTCAAACCCTTAATGGAGCGGGAAGATCGAGTGCGGGCCAGGGTCTCGGGGCTCCTAGAACGCGAGGCAGGCCGTCCATGTTTGCCGGAATTGGTGAGTTCAACGTGCTCCTCGCCATACTCCTCGGTGTGGGCACGAGTTGATCGTCGAGTAACACCGGGAGCGGTCGTAGAAGCATTCTTCGGCACTTTGAGCTTGATCATTAAGCTGTCCTTTTTCTTGGGCTTGGGCAAATCCTCAGAGAGCACATCGTCTGACTCTTCGGCGGGGTCGGATTCGTCTTCGTCGCTTTCTTTGTAGCTATTGTGCTTGGTCGCGGCCTTTCTTGACCTACGACCGGCTGCATTGACAGGCATGACCTCTTCTTCTTCTTCGTCGTCTTCAGAAGCGAAGGAGCCCTCGTCTTGGCTATCGGACACGTCATCATCGTCTTCATCTTCAATGTCGGATCCTCGATAGCGGTTGTTCCGGCGCCGTCCACCGCCACCAGCGTTCCTTTGGCTCTTGGATCCGCGCGATCGCTTCTTGGTGCGAACGGGGGGGCCATCCGCGCCAGGCTCGAAGTTCTCGTCATCGGAATCCGACTTGTTAGGATCGAAATCCTCGATGTCGCGCTTTCGTTTCGACGGCATTGTGACTCGATTGAGGAATTAGACGATGTGTGGTGGCTGAAAGGATTGGTATCGTGTTCTTTGAGCGTCGTGCACGCCGGGGAAAGCTACTGCTTGCTGCCTAGGTAGCTACCTCGCGCCAAGGTCTGGACACTGATGATTAGCATCAACATGCAGACGAGGAAAATCTGTAGAAGAGTTTCAATAGCAGAAAATGGTATCAATCCAGAACTTCATTGCAGCGACTGAGAACGTGAAGGGAAGTAAGAAGGCCATACCAGTGTCTTAGCGCTCAGGGAGAGTGATGTGCAAGAACAATGGAGGCGTTAGGCAAAGGTGTTTGCGCGGCACAACGCCATTGGCCTCTGAGCAATCCGGTCGCAAAAAGTCGAGTCGACCTGGATGTCGACGACAGTTTTCGCTGGCGATAATGCACAGCGAGAAATGAGAACACCACCTGGTGATAATAAAGTCGGATTCGCTGAAAAATCACCACAGCGCGTAGTTGCGCGCCATTCACTCGGGCGAGGAGGGACGAGAGTCTGTAGAGTGGGTCTCACGTGCAGCGCCCACCAGCCACAAATGGTCCGAGCGCTAGACGCTCTCAGGCTACAAGACTTCCGCTTTGGGGAGTGTGGACCCAATTGTTTCCTCAACCCAACTGACTTCGTGGAGGGGCCTCAATCCGAATGGAATCTGCATCTTGGAATTCTCTGCCATTGGCATGAGGAAATCCGACTGTTTGTTCGAGTCGTTGCTCCCCGAGCACAGTCAGCGGCTCTGTCAACCGATGTTCGTCTCTACCTGTGGAAAGTCTGAAGCATGTCAATCACTTTGCAAGGATTGACGGTGCTCCTCGGCGCGCAAGAGGTTAAAAAAAGTCGGGCCCGGGGTAAGTGGGCGGCGATGAGTGTCCACCACAAATCGTCGCATTGTCGCGACCGCATTATTGTATTTCGAAAGAGAGACGTTGAGAGCTCTTGAATAAAGTGCAACTTCGGGCCACTGCGTCTTGTTACTCAATGGGAACTCAAGCCAGACAGCCGTCACCAACCCGCTTGCCTTTTGGGGGAATGAGAAGCCGCGGCGCATAAATGCGCCTGACAATGACCGATCAATGCCAATGATGTCATATCTCAATTTTCCATCGCATTCGGGCCTCAAAATGCTCGTCTTTGAGCATCAGTTATTGTTGGCAATGAAGGACGCGTTTTGGTGGTGCCAACTTTCGGTATATGGGTCGCCTGAGGATCTCAACCAACTCGCCCAATTTCCAGCAACACTGAACCGGAAAAAGACCACCTTATTCATAGTTCCTCTCTCAACGACGGTGCGATTTCAAGCTTCACCAAGTCGACCCTTCCATCAGCCCTACGGCTCCGAATCTGGGGTACCTAACCCGCAGGCTTAAGCTTCCGGGCGCCAAGGTTAGGAACGTGGCTAGGGAACGTGGCTGGTGCCCCTGGCTTGGCAAGTTACTTGTCACTCAAGTGGCTGACATAATCGCTTGCCGGTCTATGTACTCTAGTCCTCATCCTACTATTCTTATTCCTTTTCCTTCTTCGAAAAGCGATATCTAATGAATGCATAGAAGATGAAGTGATAGCAGAATAGGATCCAAGAGAAATAATAGAAAGAACAAGACGGTTAGGGAGTATACAATCGTTGTTGACTGGCGTCTGATTTTGTCACCTTCTCGTCAATCTCTCTGGTTTGGTTGGGGGCACGAGTGTGGTGGGTATGGATACCTTACCTACATGCGTGCCTTGCGGCCTGAGCATTTTCGGTGCGCCCGACTCAGCAGGCATCCAGATAAACAAACATCACGTGCCGTGGCGCCGAGGGCCACAAACGGCGCTAAACCATCGGCGTCGTCCGAACTTCGGTACGGCGAATGACTAAACCAACCAAGCTGACGACGCTGCCGTGCCGAGATACCGTCCTATTCGCCAACACCGAGAAGTCGTTCATACTACGTAGTCACGAGGCCGAACAATGCAATGTGTGCATTTGCGGCCCGTTACCTCGCCCACGTTTCCTCGTTTCTTGCTTGAGTGAACGAGGCTCTGGCGAGACAGATTATGAGGCTTGAACAACAGGAAGGGAAACCTACATTTGCTTCTTCCGGCGAATAATCGAGGGGCCTCAAAATTTACAGTTAAGCCCTATCCCTTGTGTCAGCACGCCAGTTTTGAGGCCGTCGCCAAACGATCAGCCCAGTTTGCAGATCCTCGCGTAAAGATAGCCATTGGCGTCGTACGGGTACGCTACCTACGAATGCGGAAGCATGTCATGGCGAACGAACACAAGGGGTGCGCACCTGCATTAGCTGTTGCCTTACGAGGCCAAGTCCCACCTCACGCACTCCGCGGCTCGCATTCGGTCGCGGCGTCACATCAATGGGGTAAACCGTGTCCAGCAGACCGGCCCTCGTGTGGGGCTGCTATCGACCGGCAACCCGGCCAAGTCGGCAAGCGGCCACTCGGGGCACAGCATTCTTAGACCAGGCGTCGTGAATCCATGCCGACCAAGCGGTCGTAAGCAGGAAGCCAAGAAACTATCGCCGTGTAGCCGTATCCAGCAATGACGAGCCCCTCAAGCATTTAAGGACGGCTCCCCCACGGTCTGGACGAGTCCATCATTGCATTGTACAATCACCATCCAATCTTCAACTCATTCATCCAATCGTTGAAGAAATCTACTTTCTGATAAACAAACAAACAAACAAACATACCATTCTTAAGAGACACCAACCTCTGACATCATGTCTTCCCTCAACACCCCCAACTTCGACGCTCCCCGTCCCAAGAGCAGCCGCGCCGGCTCAGACGCGAGCTCCATCTCGGCAGGCTCAGATACCTTCACTCACAGAAGAGCAGTCTCTACAGACTGCCCGCGCCCCTCGAAGCGCAAGTCGTCTCACTCCCAGACCGTCAACGTCTACACCCACTGCGGGCGTCACAGCTCGCAGTTCCTCTTTGGCGGCCGTTCTTTCACGGATATGGCCCGCAGCGTCTTCAAGCGGGACTAGGTTGTTCATTGAGTTGAGGTGCTCAATGTTCCGAGAGAAACCCCACAATCCGTACATCACGAGGGCCTTTCCAGGAACTTACATGAAGCACCGATACAAAAAAAACAACCACCAAACTTGGCCGGCAGCAACCCGCAGTCCCTTCGCCGTCGCCGCACGCGATCGGACCGCGAGAGCCCCGCCAAGGAATCGGCGAGACCGGTGGTGCCCCACAAGGCTCAAGGAACCGGCACGCGGCTTCCGACGCCAAGCGGAAAACTGCAAAATTCGGCCTCCGATGCCCAGCTCTCCAACCCCCCTGCCCATCTCTGTCTTGCCTCATTCTGTGTTTGCTCCATTGCCCATTGCAAGAACAAAAGTCCGCAGAGTGAAAGATAGATGCAGGCAGCAGCAGGCTGTGGTGAGGGGAGGCAGGAATAGCCGAGACGTGCATGCCATGCCGAGAGCCAAGACCAGGAGACCCATTGGGAAAGTTGCATTCATCGTTGCGAACTCGCGCGCCCCGACCTCCCACAATCGCCTCCGCAGTCACGTCACGCAAGACAAGACTTGGAGTAAATGGACCATCTCCATCTCCACTCTGCACTCCACATGGGCATCATAGTCCGCGTATTCAATCCCTCTGGCCAAACCACTCATATCTCCATTCAGGTGTCTTGGCATATGTGCGCCAACGAGTAGCAGAAAGAGCTTGAATTGTGCCAAGTGAAAACCGTTGAATCGGACCAGGGGCCATCAACACGGGCCACCAATCACACGATTGGCGTCGTCAACCTCTTCCGTCGCTTCTCAATTGGACCTTTCATCACTTTTACGGATACGCGCACAATAGCAGCCTCCCTTTTTTCACCCTTGAGGTGCGAATGGTCCCATCATGTGGTCAACCTGTCCGGGGTTGGGATGCTTCAAGTACGCCGCCGCCGTATTGCGGAGAAAGGAACCAGGACGAAAACTAGACGGGCCAAAGAGCGTGACATCGCTCCGGTCAACGTCCGTCCATGTCGTCCATTGCTTTTTTTCTTTCACAGTCTGCATGCGGGTACGATTTCCTCTTACTGGAGCTAACTACGACGTCCCGCCAATGTTTCTGTGTGTTTTGCTTCGTCATTCAACGGAGAACTCGGACAAAGCATTGGCCGCAAATCGGGGGGTTTGGCGAAGGGGAGAACTTATCGGAAAAGGCGAGAGAGGAGTCTCTGTCACAGTTTCCGACCAGAGTCTCTGAGAACATGACTCTTGCATGAGCGCGGAATCCGTGGACGATAATCATTGGTGCTCGAAAGGCGTTCAAGGAAAGATACCATGGAGTTGAATCTTGTTCATTAGAATACAATGCAATACATTTTGAGAATCTGTGCTTCGTCCATGCCAAGAAATGTGAACCCTGCTCATGCGTAAATTGTATTGTGAGATCTGTACGCTGTATCTGTATCTACTTACATACGCTCTCACCACATCGAGCCGTCTTCTCCCGCATCTGTATGACCACCCATGTGTATCCGTACAATGTGTATGCTCGCCGACCTCCCTCCTACTAATGTAATTTCCCACATCTGTATGCAAGTTCATACGTAGAAGCGCCCCTCATAAACGCCAATTAAGCCAAAACTCCGTCTCCGTGAGATCCACATCATGAGCCACCAACCCCAAGAAATACGCACAACCACACGCACCCCAAACATCGTTGCTCCCTCAACATCTCTAATTTCCGCCTACCCCTCTGATACAAGAGTCAGGCAATCCCCAGATCGGTCTAGTTGCACCCTGTAGCTAACCCCCATCCCGGCCAATGCCCCCTCTCTCACGGTGACATGGCATTAAGCATAACTCTCGAGTTCTCCAACAAGTTCTTCTGCCCGGGCACGTTCTGCGTATACCGCGAGTTGAACTTCATCACCTTCTTAGCAGCGCGGTACGTCACGTCGTCGACCCTCAACGGCTCCGCCACGACGTTCCACGCGATACCCTCGGTGCACGGCGGCGTCGTGAGGGAGCCGTCGTACTGGTAGACGTCTGATCCTTCCAAGAGGCGTTTTAGCTCGCCAAAGTCCAGCTCTTCGGTCTCGGCGTGCGAGCCCGGCTCCTTAACCTCGTCGAGGTTGGCAAAGACGTTGGCCAGGAAGGGCGAGGGCGCGCTGTTATCGACTTCAATGAGGAACCCCACGACGGAGTTGCTGGGGCCGGTGGAGTCTATGGGGGAAAGGGGAACCATTTAGTCAGTCATTCGCTTTGGTTTCTCCAGTCTCTACCCTTTCGATCCACAATTCTCCATATCTGAACAGTAAACAAGAAACCGTAAAAGCAAGTTTGTACAAGTTGGGTTTCTTGGCTCATTGTTTTGACAAGAACTCGTAAAGTAATGAGGGGAAAGGAAGGGGAGGCTCACTCTTCAGCTGCTGCTCATCGGCCTCGAACACAAAATGGACCTCCATGGGAAAGTACTCGCTATCGACCCTATGCTCACTAGGCGTATGGAAATGGAACTGCCTCAGATGAAACTTGCGTCCGCGCCTCGTCAGCGTGCCGTTCTCAGCCACGACCTCAAGCGTGCTACCCAGATTCTCAAAGGCGGCGCCGTGAGGCAGGTTAGGCACGTCAAATATCAAGCTCGTGCCCGCGACGAGCGTCGCCGAGGTATCGTTCAGGTTGATGGGGCTTTGCCAGGCGCCCGTGGCGCACTTGGACGACTGGTTGTTGTGGCCGTGCCAGTTGAGGGGACCCGTGAGGTCGTCGTAGCCGAACTTTGCGACCTCGACCAGGCCGTCCTCGCTGCGGGCCGCAATGCCGCCGTGGCTTCGGCGGTAGAGCGATGTGCGGTGGTGGCAGATGGCCGAGGCCAGGGTCACAAAGGGGAGGAGGAGAGAGGACTTCATGGTTCTTGGTATGTTGGTGTAAGTCGAAAAAAGGGCAGGACAGAGAATGGGCTCTTATTAGAATAGAAGCAGTATTAAAGTTTTCCTCAAGAGCGGTAGAGAGAAAGAAAGGGCTCAAGGATAGTGAGTGGCAAGCTCCGGGAAGAAGGGGGACGGGGGACCTCTTTATCCTACCTTTCAGTGCTCCGGGAGATAGATCTTGACGGATCCCTCAAGAGGTGCCCGCTCCAGTCCGGGGCAAAGATAGGACCCAGAATCGGAGAGGGAAAAGGCGCTCCTCCCAAGCAGACGCCGCCATTTCACGAGGTTGGGCATGACAAACAGTGTGCTTGCTGCGGCCAAGGAGTTCGCCTCCAGACGGCACTTTGGCCTGCATAGCTTGAGTCCTTGGTTTCTTGGGTCAAGCGATGACCAGTCTAGGCTATCCAGAGACTCCGCCAAAGAGGGAAGAACGAAGTCCCCACGCCCGTCGGACTGGATGCGTGGGTGTGTGGGTGTGCCCCAGTACCTGTTTGGATTGACGAGAGAAGGTAAAAGAGAGTCAGATTATAGCACCCCGTCAGATGAAGATCCTCTAAAAGCCCACTCGAGCCAGGTTGATTGAAAGGTGCCAAGACAACAATACGCGCGCATGCTTGAGGGAGAGTGACAAGAGGGCGGGATGCGGATGAGGAGGCAAAGTAACAAAGAGGAACCACAAGAGCCAGCGGAAATTTCTAGGTACATAATCAGGACACTTGCATTGCGGAGAAATGCGGCGACTGACGGATTCTCGTCTTCCAAGACACTCAGATGGAAACGAACATGGGTTCTCATTGGCAAGAAAGAAAAAAAAACATGGTTGGCAATCAACAGCCGCGCAGGCTCGGTTGCTGTAAGTCTCTCGCTTCGTGTTATTTTCGTGCCGCTTGACGCCAAGGGTCTTCCACCCGTTCGAAAGCATTTCATGTTGCAAAACGGATGTCGACTCATTGACTAGAATTTCAAAAGAGAAAACAGGATCATGACAGGGGTAGTAAGCAAAAAAGTGCAAAGCATAGCCGCGACAGTCCGAAATCCCGGCGTTGCTAACCGTGGCGGAGGGAGCCCTAGGCCGAACGGAGAATATGGCACAGCCGAAATCTCACGCCGATATTCAGTCAGTAGTGCTCACCAGCCAACCTTCAACCGCGGCAACGTGAGCGTCTACGTAAAATTGCTTCGAAATCAAATTTCGCTGCGGTCAAGAGACCGAAGAGGTGGGAGGTCACACAGAGGACCTAAGGTTCCTTCGCTCCGGGTTCTCAAATCCTTCAGAGTTCTACCATGAGCGAAGGAACTGTACCGCCACTGCGATATCATCTCTAGCAAAGTCTTTGCTACAAGACTCCAATAAGCGCTATCATCCAGCATAGATAATACACACTTCAGCATCAGCCTCCACCATTTTGTTGTAGTTGAATGGCGTTTGTCCACCAGAACAGACGCCGTGACAAGTTCACAAGCCACGGATCAGTCAGCCGCCGAATTATCGATATCGCTGGATCATTATATTTGTGCTTGTGCCTCTTGTGCAACGAGCGATTCATGTGCTAGGTAACACTAGACAACGGGACACGCTCCGTTTGTGGCAGTTGACATAGCGCAGAGCGACAGTCGATAATTGACGTGACGTTTGTCCTTGTAAGAAGTAGGACACATGCAGATTTCGCGGCCAAACAACACCCAGACTTCTTGTTTCTTACAACCAAATTCCTTTGAGACCCTCAAAATTAGCGGCGCTGAACGCCAGTCGGCTGGCCACACACTCTCTCCCAATAGCCGACGCGACCGGGAAATTCTCGAGCGCCGCATCATCAATCCGGAGCGGCATAAGAAGCGGGCTGGAACTCCTGGGGAAAGCTGGGGTGTGACGTCCAATATAAGTTAGTCGGTGCAAAAAACCGTTCGATGATCGTCACTGTACGTTGCGATCCCTGGTGAGACATTTCTTTCCCCCGGTTTGCCTCTAGTTCCACCGTTCCACAGGGATTTTGGACATTTGGTTGGCACGTTTGCATTCTTAGTGACTTGGCCTGGTCTTTTAAACTTTCGAGGTTAATCCAACGTCGATCGGAACATGGCCGACGCTGGTGGGGATTGAAGATG